GCCGCGCCGCCCAGCCGCCTCGCGCCGGAGCCGCCCGAGCCCCCTGCCGGCTGCGCCCCGCGCCGCGCGGATTCCCGGCGGGTCGGCAGCCCCCGCGCAGCCGACGTCCCCGGAGGGCGTCCAGCCAGCCCCCCTCCTCCTCCTCCCGGCCTCGCCCGTTCCTCTTCGTTTCCAGAACTCGGCAGCTTCCGAAGAGGCGCGTTCAACTCCCAGATCCTCGCCGCCTCCTCTTAGGTAAGCATTGTTACCCGTTTTGAGGTTGAGCAAAAGGTACTCCGAGAGCTGGAGAGATTGACCCCAAGGTCTCCGGCTCGTTAGCGACTGAATTGGGCGCTAAGATTTTTTTCTTTTCTTTTCTTCTCTTTTCTTTCCCTTTTTTCTTTTCTTCTCTCTCTCTCTCTTCTTTTTGTTTTGCCGCCAGAGTCTTACAGGGGCAGCAGATTCAGATGCCTTCAGGGGCCAGACGATGTGAGTCAAATGGGTGTAGGACAGTAGAGGAGATGGAGACAGAGACAGAGATGAACACCTAAAGGCATTCAGACTCAAAAAATTAAAGCAGGTGTCTTCCTCAAAAAGCTCAGCCGAGTCCTCGAATGACCCATCAATTCCACTTCAAGGTGTATACCCCAAAGAATTTGAAAATAGGGACCCAAGTATTTGTACACCAATGGTCATAGCGGGACTCTTCACAATAGCCAAAGGTGGACACAGTCCATTGCCTATCAACTGATGAATGGATGAACACATTGTGGTATATCAATGCCGTGGAATAATATTCAACCATAAAAAGGAATGAACTTCTGATACCTGTTACAGCATGGATGAACCTCCAAAAAATTACGCTAAGTGTAATAAACCAGGCACAGAAGGCCCCCTGTGGTATCATTCCACTTGTATGAAGTAGGTAAATCCCTAGAGACACAAAGCAGATTGGTGCCAGATGCTGTAGGGAGGGAGAAATGAGTGACGCTTAATGCGCATGGAGTTTCCTTTTCGGATGAGGAAATGTTTTGGAACATGAGAGGTGGTGGTTGCACAACATCGTGAGTGTACTAAATGCCATTGAATTGGACGCTTTAAAATGGTTAATTTGACGTTGCGTGAATTTAACCACAATTAAGAAAAGAAAGCACGTCACCCGTGGATCAGACTTGGCTCATGGGTCACCAGTTTGCAATCCCTTGGATTCTGTGCTGTCCTTACCCGTTTACTAACAATGGGGGTGCCAAATATAAGAGGATTCATCTCTAAGAAAACGCATCACTGCTACTTTGGATATTAGCTCTTGAGGAGCCCCCAGTTTGGTAGGGTTACTCACTGGGACAGATAAAAATTTAGCACAAGGACACACTTTACCGTTTTGGGGACCTGTGGAAAGTCCTCACTGGGGAAATCGCTTTTGAGGTGGTACTTGAACGGTGGGAGGCATTTCCAGGGAGGAGCGTGCTCACCATTGTCAAGAGCCTATAGGGGCGCCTGGGTGGCTCAGTAGGTTAAACGTCCAACTTCGGCTTAGTTCATAATCTCATGGTTCGTGAGTTTGAGCCTGGCATTGCACTCTCTGCTGTCAGCACGGAGCCTGCTTCGGATCCTCTGTCCCCCCTCTCTCTGCCCCTCTTCCGCTCGCGTGCTCTCTCTCTTAATCTCAAAAGTA